TTCTCAAAAGAAGACATTTATGCAGCCAACAGACACATGAGAAAATGCTCATCATCACTGGCCATCAGATAAATGCAAATCAAAACCACAATGAGATACCATCTCACACCAGTTAGAATGGCGATCATTAAAAAGTCAGGAAACAACAGGTGCTGGAGAGGATGTGGAGAAATAGAAACACTTTTACACTGTTGGTGGGACTGTAAACAAGTTCACCTATTGTGGAAGACAGTGTGGCGATTCCTCAAGGATCTAGAGCTAGAAGGACCATTTGACCCAGACATCCCATTACTGGGTATATACCCAAAGGATTATAAATCATGTTGCTATAAAGACACATGCACACATATGTTTATTGCATCACTATTCACAATAGCAAAGACTTGGAACCAATCCAAATGTCCATCAATAATAGACTGGATTAAGAAAATGTGGCACATATACATCATGGAATACTATGCAGTCATAAAGAAGGATGAGTTCATGTCCTTTGTAGGGACATGGATGAAGCTGGAAACCATCATTTTCAGCAAACTATCACAAGGACAGAAAACCAAACACCGCATATTCTCACTCATAGGTGGGAATTGAACAATAAGAACACTTGGACACAGGGCGTGCAACATCACACACCAGGGCCTGTCGTGGGGTCAGGGGGAGGGGTAGGGATAGAATTAGGAGATACACTTAATGTAAATGACAAGTAAATGAGTTAACAGGTGCAGCACACCAACATGACACATGTATACATATGTAACAAACCTGCACATTGAGCACATGTACCCTAGAACTTAAAGTATAATAATAATTTTTTAAAAAGTGAGTTCACACTTGTTCAGAGAGTACAGGCTTTTGAGACAAACTTTCTGGGTTCGAATCATGGATCTATTACTTTCTGTATCATTTTGGCCAAGTGACAGTCTCTCTTTGCCTCGGTTTCCTACTGAGTAAAATGAAGGTCATAAATGCATTACCTCATGGTGTCCTTATGACAACTAAAAGATGTGACATACTGGATGTTGTTTATAAAAGTGGCTGGTACATCAGGAGCAGTAAATAAGTGAAAGCTATCATTAATTATAATGGTAAAACCTACCTTTCTGCAAAACAAAAATGTCTGAACTTCTGCTAAACTCCTTGCTACCCGAGAAATCATTCCCAAAGAATCTATGATTCCTTGATATTATGGAGAAAAACCTCAGGGCTTTTTGCAGATGTTTTCCCATAGAACCGTATTAGAAAAGATTCAACTATCTTTGGGGGTGTGAAGTTTTTTGTCAATTGCCACAGAAATGCTCTGTCATGGGCCAATTTATCCTATATTTTAAAGTGCAAAAAGGTGATATATGAGGCATAGTCAAAATATATTTCCTCTGCAAATAAAATATAATGCTGGTACAGATACACTATTAGTTTTTGTAAGATAATTTAAGGTTTATTTTATTTAAATCAACAAATATTGTTAAGAATCTACCCAAATCTATCTGGGCGCGGTGGCTCATGCCTGTAATTCCAGCACTTTGGGAGGCTGAGGCAGGCGGATCACCTGAGGTCAGAAATTCGAGACCAGCCTGACCAACATGGTGAAACCTCGTCTCTACTAAAAATATAAAAATTAGCTGTGCATGGTGGCCAGCATCTGTAGTGCCAGCTACATGGGAAGCTGAGGCAGGAGCATTGCTTGAAACTGGGAGGTGGATGTTGCAGTGAGGCAAGATCGTGCCACTGCACTCCAGCCTGGGCGACAGAGCGAGACTCCATCTCAAAAAAAAAAAAAAATCTACCCAAATCTGAGCCCCATGCTATGATGAGTAAAGGCAAAAGAAGCTGCAACTGTGCTCTCATCCCATGAGATGATGCTGGAATGCTGGGATGATGAGACTGACACATATGAATCAACTAGTCACTAAGAGGAAAAGCATAATTAAGTGCTAAATTGCATGTGCAGCTCATAAAAAGAGTTGCAGGAATTCAGGTGAGGAAGATTAAGCAGCCATAGGGTACTTAGGAAAGAGGCACCCAGGAGAAGGGAGAATTTACCAGTTACTGTATGTATGGCTTGTTAGTTAGCCTCTCAGTGTTACTGTTTCCTCTTTTATGAAATTTGACAATTTAATGCACGTAAAATGCCTAGCACATTCTAAAGTAAGACAGGTTTTTGGTAAGCCTTAGAGAATGTGTAATATCTACCTAGAAAGAGAATTCTCAGATAGCAGGATAACCTGTGTCATGTAAAAGAAACAGATATCCTTTTTAAGCCTTTTAGATACAAAAAAGTAAACAAAAAATCCACAAGTAATAGTCCTACTATAATAAGTACAATATTCTGTGTTGAATAGCAACCACAGCTTTGCCTGTATGGCAGAATAACTCCCTGAGCACGTGAGCCTTGGTGCATGTTGACATTCCTAGAGAGTTCCTCCTTCTAAGCAAAGATTCTTTCTTTAAAAAAATAGGATATAAAGTATGCGTATTTGCTTTTCCCTCTAAAATCGTTGCCCTTTACTGACCCTTCTCCTGAGCACTTGTCCAAAAGCAATCGTAACCTGAGCTTTCCATTACCTACAAGGAATAGTTTTAATCATAATCACTTCTCTAATGTGGTTTTCTTCTAGTATATAGAGAACATGAGATATATTACTTCTAATTTTATCTCACGTTCTCTGTATATTCAAATATTCCTTATCACAGCTTTACAAATGTTCTGACAAGAAGAGAAGGAAGAGTTCCTTTAAAGAGTCTCAAAGCTATTTGGGGGAAATTACATTCAGCAGAGTCCTGATTATACTTACATGATCCTAATTAGAGTTTTCCTAGCATTATTGGTAAGAGTGTTAATTACACTAATTACATAATGGCTTCTTTGACAAAGTCATATACATTCTAGGATTGGTACAAGCCTGACACTCTTTTCTGCTTAAAAAACTAGAAGGCTTATTGGAATAATAAAAGTTTCCACTTTAGGCCGAATGAAATTATACCAGTTCAATATAGAAGATGATTTCACGGCAATTAGAAACAGGCTTTGTGAAAAGTTCCATTATTACTTTTTATTTATACCAAAAGTAATTCCAGCCATGCATAACAGGCTCCATCGTTTGTAGAGAAGAAAGCATTCTATATTTCTTTAGACAGAAAAGAAGTAAGGCCTGAAATGATTACCTTGACTTTTCCAGAAAGGAGAGAAGAATTGGAAATACAGTATTGGTAGTCCGAGGTTTTGATATGTAAACTCACCTAAATATACTGGTCTTTTCAGAGTTTGTTTGTCACACAGTGTGACCACAGAAACTTAAATTATTTGTAAAATAAAATTGTTTTCTCTGTGTTTTTCCTATCCTTTTAGAGCCTTTGAAGCATATATAGAAATTTATTCTCCTGAGTAAGAATCTATTACTATATACAGTAGAGCAGCTCTCTGTTTTGCCAGTGGCAGATAGGAAGGAGAGCAGGTGACAACCCATATGCCTCTTCTCTTCTGCAAGCAGCAAGTTGTAAGCAAGAGAAACTGTTTTCTGCTCATTTGCTCCTTTATTTAACATTTTAATAATCTATGGGATATTGTGCAAGGTAGTGTGCTAGGCACTTGATAAACAGAGGGAAACAAAACCATGATCTTGTCCTCTTGCAGTTTACAGTCTCCTCAGATATCGTTTGTGGTATGTTTAGGCTTTAATTTTGTCTCTGTGTATTGCCTAGGTGTATTTCTGGTCTTGATACTGAAAGACAGATTCAAGCTGTAATACATCACAGCTGTTGGGCAGAAACTCATGTGAAGCAATGAGCAAGGTAGAAGGGGCAAATTAGAAACAATTTGAGGCACCCATAGATGCAACCAAACCTTAATCCAAAGTGTATTCATTTAATATTGCTTCTGTAACAAATTATCACAAATTTAATAGCTTAAAATACACAAATTTATTATCTTATAGTGCTGGAGGTTAGAGGTAATAACCTCAAGGTGTTGGCATTCCTTTGGAGGCTGTAGGGTAGAATCTATTTCCTTACCTTTCAAGCTTCTAGAGGCTGCCTTTATTCCTATGATCCTGGCTCCTTCTTCCATCTTCAAAGCCTGCAACATAGCGATTTCCCTTTCCTCCCTCCCCCTCCTATTCTCCACCATTCTTTCCCTCTCTCTGTGCTTTCGTCCTCTCATCTTCTCTAACCCTCCTGCCTCCTTCTTATAAGAAATGTAATTCCATAGGGCCCATCTGTATAATCCAGAATCATCTTCTCATCTCCAAACCTTTAACTTAATCATATCTGCAAAGTCCCTTTAGCCACATAACTAAGACTGGTACATCTCTGAGGGCCATCAGCTTACTACCACACGCAGCAAATTAAGTAGAAAATAAGGTTTGCCTCTTTTACGCCTTGAGTCAACCAGCTGCATGTTGCCCTTTGCAAGTTTGTTTTCTACCTCAAGGCCATCTTTGTTGTCCATTTTAACTAGCCTTTCCTCACAAAATGGTGGTATGTGGCTCCCCCTACTGATATTTCTCTGAGGCCTTGTAACTCTCTAAGATAGCACCAGTTTAACTCACAAGTCAAAAAACTGGAACACTTCAACCAGAGACATTAACACTCCCCTCTAATGAACTCTTAGCTGATTGCTAAAGACAGATGCTTCATTAGAGCCAAACATTCCTATCTTACATAACTAAATATGATAACAAATTAAGTTCATGGGGCTGGAAATAGTTATTATTTCCTCTTTCTTGCAGTGAGGAGGCATGAAACAACATTTAGCAAACTGATCCTGGCTTAATTCCTACAGATATTATGCAGCACAAACTCTTATTTGATGCAGATCATACATAAAAAATTAGCAATGAATAATAAGCATCGCTTTAGTGGTAAGGAAGCTGAGTAGCTTTTTTTCCCCCCAGTAATCGTAGAGGCTAGACTTGACATTTTTATGTCACTTTTACTAAGAAGGGGGGAAACATTAGTTACTCCACGTAACTAGGAGCAAAATACTTCTTTTTAAGATTAATAGCCTCAAAAAAGTGAAGACCAGAAAAACATTTGTTTTCAGACACTGGAGAGCAGGCACTATTACGGCTGTGATTTTACAACCGCTCCTACATGCTGGGGGCAGTCTCCAGATGCATCTCAAGGTGGGTCGTCAGTGCTTTCAGACTCAGCACAATCTACATTTATTTACGTAGTTAAAATTACTGTTGCTATGGGTAAATTACAGAAGTAAAGCTCAGAGAATCCGGTTGGCTGGCAGCGAGCGGCGGAACCAATCCCGGGCTCAGCAAGTTCTCGCGATACCATGAGATCTGCATCCCTGACGACACCGCCGCGGAGATGTTAGTGAGACTGGCGGGTGGGCGGTGCGAGCGGCGGTTAGCTCCGAGCTCGGCTTCTCTGAGGAAAACGGGCGTTCACCTGCGGTTGGTCCGACTGTTACCAACATGAGCGGCGTGGATGGGGTCAAGAGGACCCCTCCCCTCCAAACCCACAGCATTATTATTTCTGACCACGTCCCGAGCGACCCGGACGCACACCAGTGCCTGAAGCTCCGCGACCAAAGCGAGGCGACACAGGTGATGGCGGAGCCGGGTGAGGGAGGCTCGGAGACCATCGCGCTCCCGCCTCCACGGCCTTCAGAGGAGGGGGGCGTACCTCAGGATCCCGCGGGCCGTGGCAGTACTCCCCAGATCCGAGTTATTGGGGGTCGCGGTCATGTGGCGATCAAAGCCGGGCAGGAAGAGGGCCAGCCTCCCGCTGAGGGCCTGGCAGCCGCTTCTGTGGTGGTGGCAGTGGACCGCAGCTTGAAAAAGGGCGTTCAGGGTGGAGAGAAGGCCCTAGAAATCTGTGGCGCCGAGAGATCCGCGTCTGAGCTGCCGGCGGGGGCGGGGGCCGAGAACGACACTGAGGAGGTGAAGACGGGAAAGTGCGCCACTGTCTCAGCAGCCGTGGCTGAGGGGGAGAGCGCTGAGGTGGTGGTGAAGGAAGGCCTGGCGGAGAAGGAGGTAGTGGAGGAGCAGATGGAGGTAGACGAGCAGCTGCCGGAAGGTGAAGAAATAGAAGTGGCGGAGGAAGATAGAGTGGAGGAGGAGGCGAGGGAGGAGGAAGGGCCCTGGCCTCTGCATGAGGCTCTCCGCATGGACCCTCTGGAGGCCATCCAGCTGGAACTGGACACTGTGAATGCTCAGGCCGACAGGGCCTTCCAACAGCTGGAGCACAAGTTTGGGCGGATGCGTCGACACTACCTGGAGCGGAGGAACTACATCATTCAGAATATCCCGGGCTTCTGGATGACAGCTTTTCGAAACCATCCCCAGTTGTCCGCCATGATTAGGGGCCAAGATGCAGAGATGTTAAGGTACATAACCAATTTAGAGGTGAAGGAACTCAGACACCCTAGAACCGGCTGCAAGTTCAAGTTCTTCTTTAGAAGAAACCCCTACTTCAGAAACAAGCTGATTGTCAAGGAATATGAGGTAAGATCCTCCGGCCGAGTGGTGTCTCTTTCTACTCCAATTATATGGCGCAGGGGGCATGAACCCCAGTCCTTCATTCGCAGAAACCAAGACCTCATCTGCAGCTTCTTCACCTGGTTTTCAGACCACAGCCTTCCAGAGTCCGACAAAATTGCTGAGATTATTAAAGAGGATCTGTGGCCAAATCCACTGCAATACTACCTGTTGCGTGAAGGAGTCCGTAGAGCCAGACGTCGCCCACTAAGGGAGCCAGTAGAGATCCCGAGGCCCTTTGGGTTCCAGTCTGGTTAACATTTGCCCTTGGGAATACTCCTGCACAAGGTCTCCTACCACCTTCTGCTGGACTTGTGCCTGGGCATCAGCAATGGGTATGTCTTCTACTGTGTTTTGTTTTTGCTGACTTTTCTGCACCCTCTTTCCTTTGGATATTCAGTTCTCTCAACCTCAAGATTGAGACGGTGGTGGGTATGCTTCTCCACTTCCATATGACCTTCATGCTGTTCTGGAATATCACATGCTACGAGGCCATCCTTCACGCTACTTGTAAGCCAAGCAAATGATACTGTAGATTGTACTGCCGTTATCTGCACTGCTTGGACGCTGTTTATTCCCAGGGCCTCTGAACTGGTTGCTATCACCTGGATTTCTACCTTTGCGAGCCTATTCCACCTACTCAGCTCTGCATCGAGAAGTAAGGGCACATGCCCTGTGGACAGTTACTGGACGTTAATGAACTGAGAGGAGAAAAGCAGTGAGCCGCTTGTTCTGTGTGATTTATGCTACTTTATTGCTCTTCCTTCACCTCTAGTCACTTTATATTGCTACCTGCCCTGCATTGGCTCCTGCCAAGGTCCCTCTCTCCCTCTTTTCCTCTGCCTTTTTTTTTTTTTTTGAGACGGAGTCTTGCTCTGTCGCCCAGGTTGAAGTGCAGTGGTGCGATCTCGGCTCACTGCAACCTCCACTTTCCGGGTTCAAGCGAGTCTCCTGCCTCAGCCTCCCGAGTAGCTGGGACTACGAGTGCGCACTGCCATGCTGGGCTAATTTTTGTATTTTTAGTAGAGATGGGGGTTTCACCATGCTGGCCAGGCTGGTCTCGAATCCCTGACCTCGTGATCTGCCTGCCTCAGCCTCCCAATCCTCTCTTAAGTATTAGCTCAGAAACATTTGTAAAAGCAAGCTTTTAATTTCGTTTTGGTTCTGTCATTTTCAGAGACAAACAAGTTGTCCTGTAAAATAGAGTGCTAAAGCTCTTATGCCCCCACCCCTTTCTTTCTTCCCAACTTCCTACTTCCTAGCCCTTTTATCAGCTCCTAGAATATTTAAAGGGAGACACATCTAGATGGGATGAAAGGTGAGATCTAGTTTATAATGGGTGGAGGAACTAAAGAGATTGTGATGGGTGCCCTAAGTAGGGGAAACTGAACAAAAGGCTAGAGGCATGGGCCAGGTAAAAATTGGGCCTAGAATGAAGACTGCTGACGTTAAGAGCCTTCGAGGTAGGAGTACTTACTCCTCAATGGTAATGAATGGAGAAATTCTTTTCAGGATTGCTAAAGGAGAATTGAAGGGGTTAAAGTGTTAAATATGTTGCCTAGACAAGGGTTCTTTAAAGAAACACAACGCAAGTTTGAATGCTTGCTTGCTTGTTTTGTGACCTGATTTATGTGGAAGATTGTTACTTCATTAGGATTTAGTAAAATCTTATTTTTTTTCTGTTTCTAAACTTATTGTGAAAATTGAGCTGTGCAGACATTCTTTTGATTTCAATTGGGAACATTTGGAAGAACAATAGTCTTTACTTTCCTGTACAATATAGAGACATATGAATATTCATAACAGTTTTCAACTTGTTCTTGTTTCTGTTAAACTATATTCCTAGAAACATAGTTTGAACAACTTGGTCTTTGTTAGGCTTGTCAAATTGCCTTCATGGAAAAATAATCTACAAAAGTGTGGTTTAATTGATTGTCTTACATGATAATTTCCCCTGGTAACAACTTAGTAAGTGATGTGTCTTTTTTCCTAAATTGCTTAAATACTGTGAAATTGCTCTGACAAATTGGAAGTGTACCATTGGCATATTTGTCTTCCTTTTTATGCATGATGGTAAAATAAAAGCATGTTGTTCTGCTAGATTTCTTATTTTTCACTTTACCCATAAATGTTATGCTTGAATGAAATTGTTCATGTTAATTAAAAAGTATGGAATCATTAAAGTCCTATAATCCATTAAAGACCTTAATGGATTAAAATCATTAAAGTCCTTAAATTCATGTTAATTAAAAATTATGGAATCATTAAAGTCCTTAAATGGACGCAATAGACCTTATCCCAAAGAGAAGAAAACAGGGCATGGTATGTTTGGTACCTTCCAAGGTAGTTTGCTTTAAAATGTTAGCAGTTGCAACTGCTTACTCAATCACTTTTTTCCATATAGCTTATGCAGCACCACCTCCCCTTCAGTTGCTCAAATCCTCCATTTCTATCTCCATAAATTATATTCTCAGGTTATTCAGGCTCTTCTTTTTATTAACTTGTATGAAGGGAGTACCTATCATATGTGATGTATTCCTCATTTTCATACTTTCTCATCTGTGAAAAGTTCCGTTTTTTTTCTTCAGACTTCCTCACCACTCTCTTCTATCAGATCCTTCAAGGCCTGCCCTTGGTAATTCCTCTGCCTTTTAGTCTTTATATTCCCCGTAGAGGAGATAAATGTTTCTTTATGCACTTAGTGTACTTTGCAGGGACCTCTGTTCTAGAAAATAACACATAATTATTCATTACAATGAATTCCACAAATACAGAAAAAGAGTAAGAAGATAAAGTCCATTCCCTTCATTGGGGAACTGGGGAAGGACTGATAAAGAATCGACAGAGTGATACAGTAAAATAAAATACAGAGATTATATTTTTATGTTTTTCACATGTTTACTCTTTTCCTCTCTTAGCAGTTTGGAAACTGTGAAAGTGGAGATGCAGTGTATTTTACATGGTTCACTGCATCTAGCATAATGTTTTTTTTTTTGAGATGGAGTCTCACTCTTGCCCAGGCTGGAGTGCAGTGGCAGGATCTCAGCTTACTGCAATTTCTGCCTCCCGAGTTAAAGCAGTTCTCCAGCTTCAGCCTCCCGAGTAGCTGGGACGACAGGCGTGTGCCACCATGCCTTGCTAATTTTTTGTATTTTTAGTAGAGATGGGGTTTCACCACGTTAGCCAGGATGGTCTCCATCTCCTGACCTCGTGATCCGCCCGCCTCAGACTCCCAAAGTGCTGGGATTACAGGCATGAGCCACCATGCCTGGCCCATCTAGTATAATGTTTTGCACACAGTTGTCAGCAGATAAATATTGAATGACAAAATAACTCAGATGGAGAAAAAGAACAAAATGACCTAGTGCTCAGAAAGACTTAGTGAGCAAATGGAAAAATGTCAAAAAGATTTGTAAAGTCATTCCTAAATAACAATATTTCCCCTTTTAGTCATTAGAAAAGGTCCAAACACTTTTAACATTTAATCTTTCACTTGCATTTTAACAGATCACTACTTAATTTTGGGTCACCTTTTATATACTTGGTACATTTTAAGTTGATTATACTGGAGATAGAAGGGGATTAGACTCTAGATGTGTGTTGTCCAATACCGTACCTTTAGCCACCAGTGGCTATTGAGCACTTGAAATGTGATTAGTCTGAATTGAGATCTATAAATATAAAATTCACACTGGATTTTGAAGACTTAGTATGGAAAGAAAAATGTTAAAATATCTCAATTTTTTTCATATTGATTGCATGTTGAAATATTTTTGACATTGTGTTAAAATATATTGAAAAATCCTCATTTTGCCATTGTAAATGTGGCTACTAGTAAATCTAAAATTACATAGGACAGCATGACTCTTGACTTCCTGAGGAATAACTGAAAGCATATAAAATATCTAAAAATTAAACATGTTAATACTTTCTCCTCCTGAAACTTCTTGTGACTAAGATAATGGTTATCTTGCTAAAATTCAAGGCCAATGGGTAAAAAGAAGGTGAGTAAAATTTCTTTAATGAACTGTTCTTGAGTATTTCAGATGCACTGAATATTTTGCAAATTGTACTGTGCAACACTTTCTTGATATAGGTAGGGTAGATTTGGATGCCAAATCGACACAGTTATATTGGTTTAATTTTTAGTAACATTTAAGACCCATATATTCATACTTTCTAAAGTAAAATGCTCTTTATTTTTTATTTTTTATTTTTTGAGATGGAGTTTTGCTCTTGTTGCCCAGGCTGGAGTGCAATGGCATGATCTCGGCACAAGGCGACCTTCCGGCTCACCGCAACCTCCACCTCCTGGGTTCAAGGGATTATCCTGCCTCAGCCTCCCCAGTAACTGGGATTATAGGCATGCGCCACCACGCCCGGCTAATTTTGTGTTTTTAGTAGAGATGGGGTTTCTCCATGTTGGTCAGGCTGGTCTCAAACTCCCGACCTCAGGTGATGCGCCTGCCTTGGCCTCCCAAAGTGCTGGGATTACAGGTGTGACCCACCGTACCCGACCAAATGCTCTATTTTTAGTTTACAAATGTACATGATGTTCAGAAAATATTTTCAGTTGTATTTTAACAGTTGGCTAGCAACAGAAAAGGAAAATATCTGAGTCTAGCTCTGCATTAAGTCAGTTCAATTAATGCGTACTACTTGAAGAAGCATACTTTTTGAAAATTAGTGGTCTGTAATTGTAATCTTGCAGTAGTTGTTTATTGAATACTAGCATAAGTAAGGATTGAATGGGATAATAAAGGTTGTCTTTGCCCTTGAGGAACTCAGACTCATTGAGGGGGGTACCATTCCTTGAATGTTTCCTCTTTTTCTCCAGCAAATATACACATTCAAAACATCAACAAGCAAACTCAGAGAGGACCAGCCTGCTGAGAGGAGTTGACCATCCCCCTCAGGACTGACTTCCTTTCCTTCAACATTATAATTAAAATCCTAGACTATATAGAAGTGACAGGTATGCTCTCTCTGCATTTATTATTTTGGGAGGTGTTTTACTTGGAAGCAGTACTTCCTCCATGTTAAGTGCTTTGAGCTCTGAAGGGCCATCTTAATCCATTCCCTCTGACCTCAGAGGTTGTCAAGACCTATAGAAGAGTTTCTTCCTAATGTGGATGTCTACTTTTTGGCCTCACTTTTTTTAGGATTTGTATTTAAGGTAATTTCTTTGAGAGCAAGTAAAAGGAAACGGTTTAATTAAAAAGGAAAGGATTATTCAGCTAAGCTACTAATTTTTGTGAACACCTACATGTCTTATATATGACCTGATGGACAGAGAAGGCATACTAGCTGTAAATTAGGATTAAATCCCGGTTTTATAATTACCACGTATGGCATTTGCCAAAATAAACTACTCTGAGTCTTGGTTTCCTTATCCATAATGTAGGGTTAATAAAACTTGCAGTATAAGCTAATGTTTTAGGATGCATTTGGAGACTGCATTATAAGGTTACAGAGAGGATAACAACAGAAACATTTGAGAGCTGACTTTGTGCCTGACACTGTGCTAAGAGATTTCAAGTATTAATATAATAAAGAGGTTAGACAAACAGCAAGCATCATGTCTAGCATATAATATGCAATCAATTAAAATTTCCATTTATCTTCCTCTCAGTTTTAATTTCTCATTTAATTTACTTTCAGACAAATAGTCATGTAGCTTCATGGTTCTCAAACCTGGCTGATCATTTTATATATAGCTTTGAACTTTCAAAAAATACTGATGCCCAGACTGTACTCCAAACCAGTTAAATTACAGCCTAAGGTGCAGCTGAGTTTGAGAATCATGGATTACCTTTTCTTGAACTCCTTAAGTTAGGGAATACATACTGCCTTCCTAGTTTTGTCAAATTGACTCAAATTTGCCACCTTATAAGCATCCAGCTATTGCAAAGAGCCTGGTATATCGTGGAGTTTCAGGATATCTATTTCATAGTTTTCCCCGTGGTCTTGCAGAATGGAATTAACCTGAATTCAGCAAAAGAGCTCTTTAAAACTCATAAGAGCAGGTGTCATCTTTGAAATTCCCTTGTCAGAAAAGGAAATGATTTCTTAGTGATATGCTTTACTTCTGTTGATCACTATTTGCTCTTTTAAAGTGTCCAAAGATGTTTTAATAGATAATTGGTATTTGTTGTTTTCTTTATTAAAGTATAATTTACATGTAGCACAAGAATGGCCATAGCAGTTTTATTCATAACAGCCCCAAACTAGCAACAGCCCAAATGTTCACCAACAAGCAAGTGAATGAACAAATTATGGTGTGTTCATACAATGGAACACCACTCGACAATAAAGAGGAACAACCTATTGATCATCAACATGGATGAATCCCAGAGACATGCTAAGTGAAAGATGTCAAAGGAGTATATATTATATGATTCCATGCATATGAAGTTTACTAGCATAGAAAACTTTTCTATGGTGATAGAAATCCCAGGAATGGTAGCCTCAAGGTTGAGGGGAGTAACGATAAATTTTGAGCACATTTGCAGGGGTAATAGTGCTGTATATCTTGAGTTGGGTGATAACACAGATGTATCCACTTTTCAAAACTTGACCAATGATACATTTTAAGATTTATGTATTTTAGTGTAAGTAAATTATACCTCAATAAATAGATTTTAAAATATCGTTGAGAGTTTAAAAAATGGAACTTCATTTGCCCATCTCCAGTCTTTTGGCTTCTCTTCCTCTGTGGTAAAAATTGCTGACTCTACTTGCAAGATCTTATTTGTAAGTTCTTACTGTTGCATGATTTTATTTATAATTCTAATAATGAAATTACTTTTTAAAAACTTATTTCTCTTTCAATTCCAGGCCAAAATTGACCTTTCTCAAGATTCTCTTAGTTTACAAACTGAGGTCTGTCATCCTCTGGTCATTGAAGTGAAGTCTGCTAAGGACATGTCCTGTAAATAGGATTGACATTCCCTGGGGCCCTCTCAAGATTCTCTCTGAGCTTCCCTTTCCATTTATGACCATTTAGATGCTTACAAGATGCTTTTCTCTGACTTCTTCAGCTCCAACTGCTCCTTTCCATTACCCTAAAGCTGTGGATCACAAAGTGTTCTCCAGACCAGCA